AGTAGAAAGCATCCCTACCTGATGACCAGGGAAAGGGGAGGGAGAATGCCTAAACAGCAGTCCATTACATTTAAAGTCTCCTGACATTCTATGTTGTATTTTGTGAGAAAGGAGTTGAATATGAACCTTTAGGAAGTAGCAGAAAAATTGCTCATATCAATCCAGTATCACATAGCCAAATTTGAATCCACCATCCTCATCTTAGCCATTGTCTATCCATTGCAGGATGAAGGCCCGTTCCACATGTTTCCAACCAATACTGTGTGTGCTTTCTTTTGCCAATTGGACCTGCAATACTTGCTGACATCATCTTGCTTTAGGTCTCTTTCGTGGATGCATTTTAATCAAGTGGGATCCATTCTATGACTGCCTTGGTCCACCTGCCATCAGTTCTTTTTTGCTATGCGACCAGCCCATTTCCATTTAAATTCTTTTACTCTTTTTTTTTCTTTTGAAAATTTTATTTGGGTTTTCACAAAAAAAAAAACCGTAATACAAATAAAACATCTTTTTTTTGAAAACAGCATGGTCCTGGGTTATCACTTCTTCATACAGACACAAACTCAATTTCATGTTCATTTTTATGTTCTATTCCATATCTTATTACTGTTTTGCATTTTCTACATAATTTTTCCCCTCTTTTAATTTTCTCAACTTTATTTTGATTATCTCATCTCAATTCAAATCATTATATTTATACTTTTGTCTGTCCTGTTTCAATTTCATATTATCTTTTCTCATTAAGCAAATTTTCCCCTGTAGTTACTAATTGGAGTATGACACCTTTATATCTTTTAATTTTATCCATTCAACTCTTATTTAAGCTTCAATGTATACCTTTAAGATTATAACATTCAATATAATACATAACTTCCTATTGAATGCTGCTTGGTACATTCTTAAAATACACACTATATTCTTAAAAAAACATTATGTATGTATGTAAATAAAGCACTCATTCCATTCCAATTCAATTCTATCATTAATATTCATTAAAATCTTAACATCTTTAACATTTCTTTTCAATTAAATATCATGATTCCTTGGGAACACTTATAAACTTTCCATAATTAATTCTTCCCCCCCACCAAATTTCTCTTCACTTATATTTTATAAATCATTAATAATTAAAATGTTACCATCCTTTCCTAATTTAATTCTCTCATTCACTTTATTTCATTTATTTATTAACAAACATTCCAGTAGATTACAATAAATATTTTATCCATCATTTTAATCATATTTTCTAAAAATTTCTATTTGTAGTATAATAATACTATCTTATGTACCTTTGCAGAATCCCTTTTGTAATTAAGTTTTCACCCATTATCTCTAAACAGGCTTATACTTTCAATTCTTATACCTTTTTCCTGTTTCTCTGTATCTTGTTTCTGTCCTTTTTAACTTCTTTTCCTTTCCTTCTTCCCCCTCTTCTTCTCCCTCCCCTTTTTACCCCCTTGTCTCTCTACTTCTAATTCTCTCTTCTGTAATCCCCTCTTCTATTGCTTTCTAATATTATACTTATTTTTCAAACTATTCTTCTTCTTGTTGTTTGTTTTTTCAAATCTTAAACTTTTCATTCTCTTTCCCCACTTTCCTTTTTTCCCCCTCACATAAAATTACTTGATCATTAAAGATGGCTCCTTCCTTGTCCCAGTCTTCTTGTTCTGAGTTTCTTGTTGTTTCTCATAGTTCCAGATCTCCATTTCTAAGAGTTGAAATACGAAGACAAAAGAACCTCTCCCTTCTTGTGCATCTTCTTTGTACTTTTTAAGTTCCATTTTCAGTTCTTCTAAAAGTGGTGCCATTTTAAACACTTTTAAACAACCACCCAATTGATTTTAGTCATTTAAATGCAATAACCAAAAATCCAAAGATCACCAAGTAATCCAAATATCCAAAGCTATTTCTTCTTGCTTCTTTTTTCCACTTTCTCTTCCTGGGGTTCTATTATTTTGTTGCTAAGTTTCAGTTAAAATGTATCTTTTAGGAATCTTGTTGAGGTTTCACTGTAAATTCCTTTTAATTCCAGGCAGTCTCCTTCATTTTTCCAGATCCTTCCCCTTTTATTCTTTTTCTCTCCTTTCCTGGTTTTAAAAGCTTTTAAGTATCCAGAAATCTTTATTATCCCTTTGACATTTTATTTTTAGCTTAAATGCCTATTGATGTCAAAGTGGATTTTTTTTCAATTTCTTGCTTAAGTCTCTTAGCTGTCAGTATAGGGAAAGGAAGAAAAAAAACCCAAATCCTTTCCCTTTCCTCTCTCCTTCACTGCTTCAAAATCTTCTTTGGGAACAATGTTATTTTGTTTCATAGTTTAAATTCCAGGGTACCTTATGTTGTTGCTTTTGCAGTTTAACCCGGTCAACCAAAACTTTCTCTTTTTATCTTCCTCCTGCACATTCTTTTCCGGCCGAGTTCTTCTTTGAGGTGGCCATTTCTGACCACCAATGCAACCGCCTTTGGGAAAGGGAGTAATGGCCAGCTGGGGAGGAGAGATGTGGCTCTCCTCAACCCTGCTGGCAGCCTCCCCCCTCTTCACCACCTCTACGGAGTGGCTTAGCCCCGAAACCAGCTGGCTCGGGGCACTCCGGCGGTGAGCACAGATCGAAACCGCGCACAATCACAGTTTCAGTCTGTCAGCGAAGGGACTCAAACCGGAAGTCCCCTCTTTTGATGATATTGTATACTTTTGTTTATTCTCTAATCCATGTGCAAGTCTTTCTATCTTGTCTTGTCTTGTCTTGCTGAGCACATATTTTTCCATGGTTCTTTGTGCCACTCGTAGTTTTTGTATTGATTATGAGGTTAGTGCCCATGTTTCACTGGCAAATGTTAGAGAGGTTGTTCTTGAAAATTATGCTTAGCTTGCCTAATGCCCGACAACCACATTTAACATACTGTTCAATTTTCTTTATTGTATCGCTTTCCATTGAGATCTGTTGGCCAAGGTATGTGTAGTGGTCTACTATGTCTAGTTCTTCTCTAGATATAATTTTTTTTCTTTCTTTGGTGAATTTATTAAACATAACTAGGCTTGTTTTCAGGTTTATTTTTAAGCTAAATTATTCTCCTGCTTTGTGCAGCTGTATGTATCTTTGTAACTCTTCTGGGTTTTGTGAGAAGAGAACAACATCATCTGCAAATCTTAAATGATTTAAACATGTGCCATTGATTTTTATTCCATCTTTTGCCCAGTCTAGTTTGTGAATTTGATTCCAATCCAGTGTTTATAAAAGCAGTGCAGTATTGCTTTATTTTGTAGAACTATTCATTTTTAAAACTGCTTCAGGCACGGGGGAAAGCAACTTCTGGTGTGGAGCAGAAGGCCAACTGCTCATTCAGTGTCAGGCAGGCAGGATTTGGTACAGGGTGGTGTGGAGTGGGAGGCCAGAGTCCATGAGAGGGTGGGGAAAAAAGGAAGGCGCTGTTCTGCAGGTTGTTTCTTTGAGCTGTCAGCGACTCCAGGAAGAGCGGACAACAGGCAGGCAGCAGTGAGTGGGGGGCTTTCCATTTTGACTTCTCAAGGGAGGGAGGAAGAGTGGAAAAGAAGGAAGGAAGGGGAGGCAGATCGCATCGCGCCCTGCCCTCCCAGCTCCCTCCCCCAGTCCCATGAAAGACCGCAAGAAGCTCCCATCTCAGCTTCTCTTGTCTTTCTTTCCTCCTTTTCCTCCCCAATGTCACAGTCTGCCTCTATGGCTTCCCCTGCACTACCCCTCTTGCAGCCTTTTGTGGTGATTTATTTTTCTTTTTTTCAGTCTCTTTTATTTTCTTTTTGAATGAACCCTACATGTCAAGATCCAGTTGCTCCCGAGGTCCCACTCAGCACCCCAGAGATCCCTGTCACCAGACACTACACCCAGGCCCTCAGCTATCCTTCCTTCTTTGCTTGCTTCCTTTCCACTCTCCTTTGCTCCCTTGAGGGGTCAAAATGGGAAGGCCCCCGCCCACCATTGTCTGCATGTTGTCCGCTCTGTCCGGAGTTGCTGACAGGTTAAAAAAAAAAAAACACTAGCAGAGCAGCGCCTTCCTCCCCCCCCCATTGCTTCTGCAGAAGCTGCTTTCCCCTGTACCTGAAGCTGTGGGCCCCTGCCATTCGACTGCCATGCCAGAAGCTGCTTTCCTCCACGCCTGAAGCCGTGCGCCACTGCCGTTCGGCTCCTGCACCTCCCCCATAGCTCCTGCAACTGCCTATCACATGCTGGCAGCCAGGAGCATCATGGCTTCTGCCTGCCACCTGACTGGATGGTGCCTAATTGTCCTGTGTGGCCAAAGGCCTGGGATAAACAGTGTGTCAGGCTGAAGAGCGCGGGGTAGAGGGCCAGAGGCCAATTGGCCAGGGGAGGAGAAAAGCTGGCTGTAAATGGGCTGAGGTGGGAGGCTGGAGGTGAAGGGGGCATGGCCAAGGGTGGGAGCCTGAAGGTCCCATTCCAGGGAGAAGCAGAACAGAGAAGAGTAATTAATTCAGCAGTCAGATTAGCACATTAAATCAGATTAAGCTATACGTGCTTTGGAGAGGTTTTGTTAGTTCATAAGACATAAACTAGAATTGAATTCAGACTTACATGAAGTAATTTGAGAAAGTGAATACTTGAGAAGACTGCAGAAAACAATTTACAAAAAAGCCATTACTATTATTATTATTAACTTGTATTCATGAAACTCAGTCAACTGAACATTTAAAAATGTATCACAAATATCATTGACTGGCTCTGATGGTTGATACAGGTTGCTGCCAGCATCCTAGGTATCAACCAAGTATCTTCTTAAAATGTATGTTGTTTTGAGTAGTACAGTCTTTTGCAGCTCCACTGGCACTACAGCAGGAAGCTGCACTTTCTTGATATATTTTGTAATATTCTTGGACATGGTACCAAGTGCTCCAATGACAATAGGTATCACTGTTACATGTTTCATCCATAATGTAGTTTCAATGGCCAGGAACGATATTTCGTGATTTTTTCCAGTTCTATTTCTGTGACTCAGGCGTCCGGTATAGTGATATCAAGAAGTTGTATGCTTTGGTTTTCGACAACTGTGATATCTGGCATGTTGTGTTCCAAATGATGATCTGTCTGTATTCAAAAGTCCCACAAGGTCTTCACCTTCTTAATTTCGACAACTTTTTCCACATTGTTGTTGTTCTTATTATTTAATTTTAAAGTATCATGGTCAGAAAGATCAATTCTTTCCTTAGGGGGTTTCTGATAAGAATGCTTTTGGGGAAAATGTTGGGCTTTATAAAATGCTTTGTTGTTTTCTGCTATTAATTTTATTTTAACCAAACAGTAATATCTAAAAAACACCATGGGAATGAAAAAGCTGTGATTTGCATACAATTTCCTTATTCCCTTACCTTTTCAACCACTCCTTACTCAACTTCCCAGTTCTTTTTATGCTATCTTTCCTTCTTTCTTGAACTGCCATTAATTTTACACTCAGATCCCTTTATAGACTTATTACTGCTACTTCCTTTCATTTTGGACTAACTTGTTATAGGAAGTTTCAAAATCACATGTTCTGTTCACTCTTCCATTCATTATATGTTAGCAATTTATTATACGCCTCACTGTTTTGTAATGAAGTGTTAAATTACAGTGCATTTTACTATCAGTTTATAGTGATGGCAAACTAATGGAGAGAATTAAAGGCGTTGTTGCTGCTATCATCATCATAATCCAGCATCACTAAATTACATTTGTACAACTGTGAAACTCCTCTCCCTATCTGCCCACCCCAACAGAAGGAATAGGGCAGGCAGATTCCAGGTCCTGTTCCTTATGCGTTGCCATTTTGGAGTCTTGGAAGTATGCCTTTTGCGCTGAAACCCTCTTCCCTACGATGTGCCTTTTCCACTGAGAACCGAAAGGTCTCACGCCTTCTGTCTTTCAGGAAAGCCCTCAAAACCTGGGTCTTCTCCCAAAAATTGGAATAGGACAAGATGAAGCTAGGATGAGAATGTGGGGCTGCAGGTAAGTGTGGCTGTGGTTCCAGCTTTTTTTGTTTTTTTGATATTTTTCTACTGGTTGTTAGCCTCCCATAATTGATATATGATGGGAGGCTATGCAAAGGTTTTAAACAAAGAAAGAAACTGAAAATCAACATAGCCTACCCAGCATGTAATATGGATAGAAAGAAACAGCAGAAAACACTGATCTTTCAGAGAAATGTTTGTATCAAAGTTGGAGTCTTTATTTCTATCAAGTGCTATTATATATGTCAACAGAAGAATGCATGCTTTTAAAACGAGGCAGGCATTTTGTGCCTTCTTGATGGACTTTACATATCAATCTGGTCTATTAAGTTGCAAACCTTACTTTCTTGTAGCTATTCCAGCTATTTGCAAATTCTGCATAAGAGTCTCTAAAGATGGGGATGAGTATCATGTTTCTAAAATTTCCTACACATTTGGCTCTAAATTTAACTGGATAATCATAAAACAATCAAATCTGACCTTTAAATAATATTCAACATTTCAATCGGTATCTTCAGCATTCCATGGAGCCTATTTATGCATAATTTTATTGTTAAACTTCCATAAAGGAACAATAGAAATTAAGATGTTAAGTATTTGGGGGCTTTCGCTGTTTTTCTTAAAAAAGCACTCTGCCTAAGACAAGGTAAAGAGTTAAAGATTGCAAAATGAAATAACTTTTCAGTTAAACATAACCTAAAGTTAGAATAGAAATTATAGCTTAGAATGACATTCGCAATTACTAACCTTTGCTAAGTAAGCTTCCACTCTGTTTTTTGAGGCTAATGCAGCTCCATTTGTGTTCAGGAATCCTCCTCCAAGGTTAAAAGATTTATTTAATGCTAAAGTGTTGCCAAGATTTCCCATCTGAACTGTTTCCAGGACAGGACTTGAAGAAAGGCTTCCACTTATAAAGCCGTTGGCAAGTAAAGACTTGTTTTTGTGACGCTCGTGATAGAGTTGAGTGTTGGCTTCTGCTAATTTCGCATTAGCTCTGCAAAAGGTTAGTTAAATAAGATAACCTCTTAGAATAATGATTCACTTAACTGCATAAAAAGTCAGAACTCCAGGCAAAATGTAAATGTATCTCTAACCTGTTCCAAAAATATATCCATCACTTTGTTATTTAGATGATAATTCAGAACCACCAATTTAGTATTAAATGACAGACCTATAATTTTAGGAATATGAGTGTCTCAAAAAGAACTTTATTTGCAGAACTATATTCTCAGAATACAAACAGAAGTATAAACAGAAAGGTTATTTTCCTAATGTATTTAACCACTAATCTGAATAAATATTTTCTACTTTACTAATATATTTAATAGTGTTATAAAATATAAAATTAAATATTATCTATTCTATGTTAATATTAGTTTTAATATTTTATTTTTAATGCACAATGTTACAGTTGTTTTATTCTGTTATTTGTGGTATTGTAAGCTACCCAGAATTGCTTGGTAGTAAGATGGGCATCATACAGATTTACTGAATAAATACTTAAATGTTGCTGTTACCATATGGTATCTTTGAAACCGTTCAACAGAATGCTTTGCATTAACCAGGTATCACTATCATAGTGAGATGACAATACTAAAATTTTCTGTTCATATTGACATTATCCAATCCAAAATAAATAAGAAAAAATACAAGTTTACAAAACTGAAACTTTGTTTACTTACCGATCCAATTTGTTCCCCAAAGATTTCCGAATTTTTATTTCTTCTGAATACAATCCTTTATATCTTTCCAATTCTGTATGGGTAGATTCTTTTTGTAATATGCTATCTTGCTGGTTGTTTTTAAATGTGGCCAACTCTGATTCTAATTCTTTAATTCTGTTCTCTAATTGATTTCTCAAAGAAGCATTACTGGTAGCTCTTATCTGTTCCAAGGTTTCTTGAGAAGCAGCCTGTGTCTAATTCACAAAATGTGGATTAGAAGAAAAGTCCTTGCTGTACACCCAAATCTTAATTAAACCATTAACTGAGAATATATATTGTCTGAATGTAGCAACCTGATGAAATCAAAATGTTAAGCAATTTTGTCAATGAAATAACTTACAATTAATATTTTTCAATTATTTAAAAGAGCCAGTTTGGCTAATGACTAAGGCACCAAGCTAGAAACCAGGGGACTGTGAATTATAGTCATGTCTTAGATATGTAAAAGCCAGCTAAGTGATATTGGGCCAGTGATTCCCTCTCTCAGCCCAACCCACCTCACAGATTTGTGATTGTGGGAAAAATAGGAAGAAGAAGAATGAATAGCAGATACAGTATGTTCTCTGTCCTGAATTAGTGATAAAAATAATAAAGACAGGAAATAAGTAACTAAGTAAGCAAGCAAGCAAGTTACCTGCAAAAAGAAATTGACTTCTTCCAGTTTTTGTCTTATCTCTTGTTTAGCTCGTTCTTCAACGTCTCTCTTGTATTGTTCCACTTGGCTAAGATCTATTAAGTTACCCTGTACTTGGCGTTTGAGATTAACTACTTCTTCTTCTAGTTGCAATTTGCTTTTTTCTAATTTTTCATGATTCTTATGGAGTATCTTCATAGATGCTAATTGTTCACGCAGTTCACAATTGGCAGATTCCAGCTGGGTACTTCTTGTTGACTCAACCTCCAAATGGCGAGAAAGTTCATCAACCTGAACAAGCAAGTGACACTTAAAGAAAAAGACTACCAGCTTTTCAAAATACAGGTAAATCCCCAGATACAAGGGTTCCTTCCATGAATTTTCACCAGAATGAATGTATTCAGAAAGGGTACTTACGTTAGAAATTCAAAATTGTGATCAAAAACAGTAGCCATGTGACTTGGATTCAGTCACTGTTGCAGCAGCTGCCATTTTTAACTCTGTGTTATTTCCTGGGCCTTTCAGGCTTACAAGGCAATTTCTGGAAGCCAGCAGGGTATTTTTTTTGGCCCCGGTCACATGGCCAAACAAGATCCTGTGTCTTTGCGGCCAGCCGGTTTCCAGGTTTTTGTTTTGTTTAGTTTTTTGATGCTGCATGGCAGGTCTGCTGCTGCCTGGGCTCGAGAACTGTACTGTAGGGCTAGAATTGCTTCTGTAAGTATTTTGAAATATTATTTTTTGTTACTCTGTAGTACTGTACTGTTTGTTTGTAAGCACTTTGGGAACTGCTCTGCTTCTTTTTAAGTACTGTACCTTACTTTGCAAACTACAGTATTGTGCTTGTAAGCACAGTTCTTTGCAAAGATAAAGTTTGTTTGCATCTGCCTACAACTGCTTATAGAAATGCTAGCCAGCATCTACAGCATTCTATAATGTTGTGTGCTGTATCGCTTCTCTAAACTGCTGATTTTCAAATTTGCAAGCTATTTATATGAGTTTTGGGATTTTGCCTGGAGGGTCTTGTGCTGATTAGGGCAGTGTTTTTTTAAAAAGAGGTTTAAAGTCTAAATTGCCTCCACAAGTTGTTGGTGCCCCATCACTGGAGGAGTTTAAGAAGAGACTGGATAAGGCATTTATGAAAAATACTCGTGAGAGCAGTAGGTTGGACTAAGTGAGCTCCAGGTCCTCTTCATCTCTGTTACTATTGCAAGCCAAGAGACCTTCCCCATATGGCTGGCTGGAGACTGTTAAGCTAAGTGGCAGATAGTTTTTTTTTAAAGCAACTGCAATGGAGAGTTTTGTAAATTACTGCCACCCCACTAATCCCCCTTCTGGGCAGCTTAAGCTATACCGGAAAATAGCTGATAGATAGGCGGAGGCAGAAACCGCTGATTGGTGGCAGATCGGTCTTCATTTATTTAACAAGCCATTTCATTCAATTAATTAATTTAATTTTAAAAATTTGCAAAATTGATCTGATTCATTTGATGAATTTTTTGACTTACGAACCTAATGGACCAAAAACATTTTAATTAAAACTTTATTAAATTCACATACCCTCTCCCCTCCCCAACAAGGTGACTCAAGCAGCATATAAATTTAATAAATTTTAGATTAAGTTTTAGTTAATATATTCTATGTTGAAATGATTAAAACAATAAAAAATTCCAAATGGAAAACCAAATACTAATATAAAAGTGCAGAAACTTGTACAAACAGTTTCCAGGGGGTCAACACTGATTCGAAGGCACAAAACAAACAGATAAATAAATACCTCTATTTCAGATCTCTGGATAGTTTTATAGTTTTTAGAATTTTAAACATTATATAAAGCAGCCAATTGTGTAGTACATGAAAGTCTAAAAAAGGCAGACCAAATCACCACTACCCACTTAAATGAAAGATTTGTTTCATTATAGAACACCAACAAGAAAGAGAACCAGTTATTCAAAAGCCTTGAGACTTCTAGACTACCCCCAGGTCCAAACCTCACAGAAGAAGCAATTTAAAGAGGAAAGTCAAATAACCCAGTTTCCCACTGTACTGTTTTATTTATAAATGATGACTAGTGAGGACTAGATGAATTGGGCTTGGATCTTATTGTTCACTAATACAAGGACTATGTAAGTGTTATCATGTAAGAGTGAAATTTAAATAAATTAAAGTCATAGCTGGTACATACCCTTTTTCTTAGTTTTCCAACTTCATTGTCGATTTCTGAATATTTATTCTTTATTTCTCCATGTAAGCTTATTTGAGATGAACTTTCTCCACTCTCATAACCTTTTAACTTCTTTTTGGTTATTTTTAGAAGCTTTTTTATACTACAAAGAAAAAATATTTTACTGCAATTGTTTATAAAGTATGCTGTAGATGCTATTTTTGCTGCACAAAGAAAGAATTCTACCAGGCTTAATGAATGGAAAGAATGTGAAAAATAATGATTTGCTATTTTTTTAGGCCTTGTTCATTACTCTACAAATAGCCATTTTAAAGTGACCAAAACTTCAATTTAACATTGTTTTTCCGATACTGTAGATGCACGAATTAATAATTCACACAATAGTTTGCACTCCTAAAGCATACAATGTTCTCTTCATTTTTCTATAATTCATATCAACTATAATGTTATATTCTTTTATCTATTTTGCAGCAAAACTGCTGTTATTGCCATTGTAGTTAATTCCTTTGGGGAATCTAATTCTATTAATGTATAATTCAACATGTCTCCATTTTTTTTAACGCTATGCATTTGTTGCTCCTTGCTTAATAACCAGTCGAAGTTACAAAAAACTCCCAAAAAGTTACTTATGACCCCTCCTCAAAGTTATGATTGGCACACCCCATTGCAATCACATGATCAGTTTGGGTATTTGACCACCTGCTTACATTTATGACCAGTTGTAGCAAACCATGGTCATATGACATTAGCAATGTTTTTTGCTGCTTCCCAGCAAAAAAAAACACCCAACATTTGGGGAAATGGATTTGCTTAACAAACATGATTCGCTAACAGTGACTCACTTTATGATCATTATAAAAAGGATTGTAAAATCAAGTCAGATCATGTATTGAACCTCTTAATGATTGGGCTCAATTGTGGCTGTTAAGTGAGGACAATGGGTAATTCCTGACTTATGACCGCAATTGGGATCCAGAACTGTCGCTAAGTGAGCTGTGTCCAGTTTTACCATTGTTTTGCTATGGTCTTCAAGCAAATTCACCCATTTAATTTGCTATTCAGAAGTCCCCTGGGAAGGTAATAAATAGTGGTCACAAGACCCACGGACACTGCAACTGCCAAGCACCCTAGTTTATCACATAAGCCCAGGAACATCACCAAAGCTGAAAATGCAACAACTGGTAGTAAGTCACTGCTTTCAGGTCCCTCGTAACTTTGAACAGTTGTTAAACAAATGGTTATAACACAAAGACTACTTGCACCTATATTATAAATCAAGAGGTAGTTATTAATTGTATTATGATTATTAACAATGTGTAAAAATATATATTGAAACTTATAGCTCTCAAGGACTATAATAAATTCAGGGGACTTAAGAGATATAATCCTGGGACTGATTAAATCTTATTAATAATTGGCCTTACTGGTGTTTCTAGAAAAATTGAGATATTGGAATTATGATGGAATATTGACTAATTTTTAAAATATCAGTGATTCAGCAGGGGACAACAAACACATTGTATGAATAAATGTTGATGTTTAAATGTAGTTATGGAGAAAGTGATAAAGAATCATAAAGAAAGAATGGTATTGTTTAAAGACAAAGATTTGAATGTAGAAGAACCCCAACAAATGGGGGGAAAAGATAAGTACAAATTGGGAAAATAGTATTATACACAGTGACATATAAAGGAATTTATTATAATTACAATGTGTACGTTAAGTTTAGAAGTTGGAAGATAAGGATTATGTATATTGTATCATTATTGCTGCTGTTAGTTGCGAAGTTGTATCCGACCCATTGCGATCTGATGGTAAAAAGTATATTGACCCAGTTAATATACTGTCCACAAAATATGCATGGTTGTTAAAGGAAAATTACAAATAAAACATATACAAAAAAAGAGGTAGTGCATAACATGCAGAAAAAACGGGTCATAGAAACAGAGATACTAGCTTTTATGTGTAAGATTATTTCATTATAGCAATGTTAAATATATTTAAAATAAAAATTCTATACACAGAAAACATCTTAACAATAAAAAGTTACCCATGATATTCTTTTTGTAATTCACTGTTCCTTTTCATTTCTTGATCTAGTCGCATTTCCACTGATCGTTTTAATTCTAGGACCTTCTTTACTTTTTTCTTTTCATTCTCAAACTATAACAGAATAAGAACATAATTTCCAGACTTGACAACATTTTAATGCACAAATAAATCTCTGATGGTATTCCACCTTCACTTTGAGCTTTGTGAAAGAAAATAACTATACTGAAATATATTTTATTTCTTCACATACATATTTACTTCCATAATTTTCAAAATTAGTTTTATTAAGACCCTGGTACTCTGCCCAGATTTTAAATGAGCATCCTGATGCTATAGTGCAGCAGCAATCTCTAAGAAAGTTCCAGTGTTGGTAAAACTCTCTGCTAAGAAGGCTGAAGCTTGTACTATGAAACGAATAAGGTAATTTGGAACAAGGTTTTGGGTTTTCATGAGTTTTTCAATTAAAATTTTGAACCACACCCATCTATGAAGGCTAACAGCATGCTAAACCATGTCAAAAAGGATTGAAATCCCTTTCACTGTCAATCCTGAAGATCAAATTAGTAATGACTGTTACAATCACAAAATTTTAGAAGGTAAAGGTATCTTGAGAATTGAAACAGATTTTAGCTTCATTTTTGCTTCATCTAGCTCTTGTCCTAACTAATTTTGTCACCTTCTTGTGCAAGCTGCAGTAGCTAAATGACTTGGTCAGGTGACTGAAATATATTATGTCAAAGGCACTTAGACGTCTGTCTCAAGTCCAGCAATTTCATTTACACTTATTTATCAAATTCATAAATTATAATTTCTTATCACTTTTGTACAAAAATGTAGATTTCATCGTTCTGTCTCAAAACTGAAAAAATTCAGGCATCATCATCATCTTCTTTTAACAACCTCATAATCCCTTCTGGGGTGGAGTCTGTGCAACTGAATGGAGCTAGCAGAGTGTTTTAATAGCCAGATGGCCCTTCCTATTGCCAATGTGGAGTTTTGCAAAATTCAGGCATCTAGACCTTTATGTATTTCCTTTATTCGATTTAAAGTTAAGAATTTAAAGGAGTCTAACTCAAAACCCCCTATATTATTTTCTTTTTCTGTGCTTTGTTAGCATCTTTGTCTTTGGGAGAACTCACAAAGGACAAGGAGTAAAAAGAACTTTACTTTTTTTCAGTTCCTACAGAAGTAAAAATAGTTTTTCCACTGTATTTATCTGAATTTTATGAAATATTGTTTTATTTATTTATGAAATTCTCAGTACAAATAGCTAGCAGGATTTAAAAATGCTGCTTCCTAAAAGGATTGTGAATCTATCAGTTAGATAGATCAATTAGGCACGATAGGCAAATAATATAAAAAAACAACAACCCTCCTCTGCGCCATTAAATGCCCACTATCAAATCTATGAGAGAAAAGATCAGTCACACTTTCACAGCATGATGTTCCACATCTGAATCAGTTATCAGTTTCTCTCATCCAGATAGCGTCTGCTTCTGAAATCCTTAATGAATTCTGAACCCAACATATTTAAGACTTATTGTTTATTGATGCCAGGAGCTCATATGAATGCTTTATTTCTTCAATTTTCCCTACCACAATGGTCCTGTGAAGTAGTTTGAACTGAGTGACTTAGTGACTGGTCTAAAGCACCAAAACTCAAAAGAGTTTCCCATGGCTGAATGTGGACTTAAATTTGCTTTTCCTAGTCTGATACCTCAACCATAATACCAATTGTTTCTTCATCATTTCCAGCACAGTGAATTATTGAAACTGAACCTACCTGAGATATTAGTTCTGTCCTTTCCTTATCAACCTCAGAAAGGCGAACCCCAAGTTTTGATTTTAATTTCAGTTCTTCTTCCCACAAATTCTGAGCATCTTGTGCAGTTACTGAAAGCATACTTTCCTTCTGAACCTGAGGAGAAATTGAATTGCTTCTGAATAAAAATCATTACAAAGGAGCCCTTGAAATAGCCAAGACATCTTTATGTAGATATATAATTTAATTCAGATAACAAAGATCAGATTTCTGTGTGGAAATGGCAGATTGAAGACAATGCCAATGATCATGGTAAACAAAGAGCCTACTGGCTCTGTAATTCTTCTCCAAACAAGCAGAAGACTTGAGGTTATCCAGAAATGCTCCAGTCAGTTGGATTTACAGCTCTGGGAGAGAAGGTTATAGCCATCTTGCTCAAAACACAGTCACTCTTTAAAAGGGGACTGGATTGGTATACTTTCTTTCCTAAAGTTTGTCAGGGGTGAGATTCAGCCGGTTCGGATTGGTTCAAGTAAACCGAATGTTAAATTTACATCTGGTTCACTGAACTGGTAATTGAACCGGCCAACTGGCCCTGCCCACCCGTCCCCTCTCCCGAGTCTCCAGGTGGCCCGTTTTGGATGCAGGTAAGTGCAGGGTCTGGGAGGGTGAAAAACAGGCCTCCCAGAAGTCCGGAAACAGGCTTGTTTCCAGCTTCCGGAGGACCTCTTGACCCTGGAGGAGGCCATCTTTGCCCTCCCAGAGATTCGAGGAAAGCCTCCGGACTCTGGGGAAGGCGAAAAACAGCCCTCCCGGAAGTTCCGGTAGGTAGGCCACTCCCACCCAGCAACTCAACCGGTTGCTGGAATTTTAGAATCCCACCCCCGAAGTTTGTATATTTCTAATACGAGAGCAGGATTCACACACGTAGATGTTTATTCCGTGTTTGAAATCCATTTCAAATGCTATTATTCATATTTTCCTTGAATCTTGATTGCTAATTTGACATATCAATGGCTGCACGAATGATTGTGTGTTTTTATTTGAAGTAGATTCTTATTCTCAGAAGAGAACAATATTAAGCGGAGATAGAATAGGCTAAGAAAATTCACACTTTAAGTAAGTATGCATGCCAATTCAGAAACATCCACAGAATCAAAGATTTACATTTGCTGTCTGATATCTATGATTCCAGTACCAATCTTTCGTGTGCAATAATATAAAAATTAACAGAAACGAAAGGGAATGATCTACAAGTGAAATGTGTCAATTTTGTTATATGTGAATTATCCTTATCTTGAAAATACTGCTGTTTGTTTCATTTTTATGAAACACTATCCTGTAGGTCTTTTTGAAATACCTCAACTCTATTACTTTGCTGGTTTGTTGTAGCTTCCAATCTGGCATTGTCTATTTCAAGTCTTAAAAGAAAAACAGTCTCAAAACAGGATACAATGCAACTATATTTCTTCCTCCTTACATGTTTTAATGGTTCTATACCACATGGAAGTATAAATTGCACAATAATTTTTTTTATCAATTCTATTCATTTAGAATACCTGGTGGTTTAGTTGTTCCTCTAGACTGATTTTTGCTGTCTGTAAGCTGGTTATCAATTCCTCAAGACGATTATGAACCTAGATCATCACAAAAGAAACCAAGAGTCATTACGCAGGTTGCAAAAGTTTTCAGTCTTTAGAAGTTCTCTTTTGTTATTTACATCCCTTTCTATTGTTACATTCATAATTTCAATAATTTTAATTTATTTATAACTTCTGAATATGAAGGAAACTAATTCAGTATGCTGTAATAGCTGTCTGAAATATTATTATTTTTTTTAAATGATAAAAAACAGGAAAGGAATTAAATATGAAATCTTATTTCCCCAAAATATTATGGTTGACTTACAGAAACACTATCCTGTAGGTCTTTTTGAAGTATCTCAATTCTATTACTTTGCTGGTTTGTTGTAGCTTCCAATCTGGCATTTTCTATTTCAAGTCTTAAAAGAAAAACACAGTCTCAAAATAGGATACAATGCAACTATATTTCTTCCTCTTTATGTGTTTTAATGATTCTATACCACATGGAAGTATAAATTGCACAAGAATTTTTTTATCAATTCTATTCATTTAGTACATTTAAATTTCAGCATGTTTTACCTCTGTATGTGCTCTTCTAATTGTTTTATAGCATTATTTGTTCCTGATGATGCTACTAGAAGATCCTGTAGTTTCTGAGATGCTGCACTTGCTTCACGTTCCTTAATGTCCAAAGCATGTCTTAATTCATGAGTAGATCTTTCACACTGGATAGTCTGAACTTCTGAATCTTGCAACTGTAAAATTTGAGAGTCAATGTGGCTTAGCCAAAAAATAGGTGCAATGTGCTCTTGCTATGATATACCCTGCCAGTCTAATCACCTCATCCTAGAGTCCTGTAGTTTCTAAATCTCCTTCAAGGGCATCCCTATACAGCGTGCACTGCAGTAATTTTACTGGGAAATAACTAGTGGATAGATAATAGAAGCAAGATAAACTCTTGTTTCATGTACGATGAAACACCATGAACAAATGGCAATGTTTTTTTTTGTCAAAGAGCATATCTACAACTGATTCTCTGAAGGAAGAACAAAACAGGAAAAGCTCCTTCCCGTTTGCTGACATTTCCTCCAACCAGAATGTCTTCAATCTAGCCCAAGCAGCTCCTCAACAAGCTCAGCATACTTGATGATGATGGACAGAAGAAACCTCAATATTATCTGCATAGAGAAGGAACCCAGACCTGTAATTCTTGATAATCATCAGTGCACTGATTACATACAGAGGTTGAGTAGCCTGGAGGACACCATAACCTTTATGCATCCCACAGTATAAATGGCAGAGAGCCGAATGATATTCTACTTTCGGGAAGGTATTCTCAATGTAGGAACAGAACCACGCCAAAACTATTTCAAAAACTAATGCATCAGAAAGTGTTGGATGTCATCTCTTCCGTTCCCACAGTAGAAGATATAAAGCATTTAATAAACTGTTGCATGCATACCTTACATTTTATCCTTTCTATTTCCTTCAGGAGTTGCTGTTTATCCTCCTCTAAGTCAATACGATAACGTGTTGAAACTTCCAATGAAGCTTCTGTCATGGATTGCTTTTTGAGGGAATCTGCAAGTTCTTGCTGCAATTGCCTTATTGTACTCTAAAAAGATGTTTAATGAAATAATTCATACAAAATAGACTGAAAATGTTGCATTTTAATTTATCTAAGTAATATTTATAATAGGTAAAAATGTTCAATAACATATATTTATATGAGTTTGTGTATGTATGTGTATGTCTCTCTGTTCATATATACTATATGCAAGTAGTTTTCTTTCCTGACCAATATCAACTGAAGCAATGAATAATTTACTAGCAGAAGGAATGCAAAGATAAATTATTTACAATAACTTTGAAGTGTGCTTAATTTTACATACACCATATAAGTTGTGCTGTAAAATGATAATATTTCACTTCCTTATAAAGTCTATCATTATCATATTAAATTCATATAGTGTCTCCAAGTGAAAATTAAGCTTAGTTTAGAAATCTGTACCCTGAAAAATGATTACATTGGTGGAATTGACAGAACATAAATCATACTTACCTCTCTGTCTATTTTCTCAGATTCATATTTAATGACTTGGTCCTTTAAATTATTACATTTTGTGATTAATTCTTTATTTCTCTCTTCCATCATCTGAACTTGCTTTTCAGTATCAGCTCTGAGCTTATTAAAAATATCACTGAATTTATCTTGAACATCAGTCACTGCTTTTTCTTTGATAATGCCCTTGTTCTGAAAATCTTCAAGCTGTTGTCGAAGTAAGAGATTTTCACTTTGGACCTGTCCTAAGCGTTCTTGCATAGATTCCTGTTTTATTACATATTTGCTTATTTGATCCTTTGCAACTTGTTGTGCATTTTCAAGTTCTTTCACTTGGCACTGTGACTGGTTTAGATCTCTTTGAATACTATCTAACAGCAAGTTCTTTTCCCGGAGACTGAGAGTTGCATGGTGAAGCTCATTTTCTAGACTATTAGCTTTATTTTCAGCTTTCCCTAACTGTTGAGACAAGCCATTGTTTGTTTCTCGTACAGTACACACATCGTGGTTCAATTTGTCTTTTAAGCGGAGCCATTCTTCCCTCTCTCGCTGAAGCAATCGTTCAAGGTCACTTTTTGATACCTGACAACGATCAAGTTCCTGAAGAGCAGAATTCAAATGAGAGCGTAGTGAATCAAGTTCTATTTCCAATCTTTCTTTATTTTCCTTGAAATGTTCCAATTTGGATGCTACCATTGCAACCTCAGTTTTTGATACATTTATTTGTCCATTATATTGAAAAACTGTTTGAGTCAAAGCATCTTCATTTAGTTTCAGTTCTTTTTTAAGTTCTTCATTTTTTTCTTTCAAACTTTCATTTTCTTCCAAATATTTGCTTTCAACCTCCTGATGCTGAATCCTGATGCGATCAAGTTCTAATTTTAATACAGCAAGTTCATCTTGGAGTATTTGATTTTTGTGTGAGAATTCTTTTTCATGGTCATGGTTATCAATCATCTGAATATTTAAGAAGCAGAAGGATAACACATAAATACATTCATAGAATCCAGAGATGTAAGCTACATTCTAGGAGATCAGACAAATTTATGTTGAATAAACATTATCAATCAACAGATAACACTCAGAATGTCTAAATATTACTTCAGAAATGGACACATTATGTCTCTCATGAGTTCCTAAGAGAGACGGTGTGAAAAATGCCGCTAGACATGCATCCTGATTGTGGTTTTCCAATCATTCATCAAGCACACTGAGAACAAAAATCTGGATAGTTTTGTCTGAAGAATAATTACTTTTCATTCTTATAGAGCATAACAGATGTGTGATAATATGACAACTATGTATTTTGTTTTCACAATAGTATACCCCTTTCAATTTTCTTAATTTTAATCAAACTTAAGTCTATCATAGAGATCATTTAAAGAGAAAAGCAACATAGCAACATGAAAAATCCTCTCAATTTCTTAACCAAAATTTAATTAGAAATTACATTTGTTAAGTTTATTTATAAACCACACTTCTAAAGCCACCCACCTCATAGTCTGTCTATAGAACTTGAGAGAGAACTGAACTAACAAAAATAAGAAACAAATTCCATACTGTGCCTTTTTCTTTAATGTTTATGTAAAATGAGTTCCTTGCAGATTATCATCACAAAGTTTTAAACATAGTTAGCTCACAATTTATGACCACTCATTCAGCAATGGCTTGATGTTACCCTGGGGCCAAACAAATTTATGACTGAATTTATGGCCATCATAGTGCCCTATCTGATTGAAATCTGGGCACTTGACAATCTGTTCACAGAGGAACTGGCAGGAAAAGTTGTAAGCCACCAGTACCTGTCGGGACGACTCTTTCTAAGCTCTGGGGGCTGGTTGAAAAAAGATCCATGCTGAAATCCAAGTAGGATTTTGGCATGAAGGATTTTCAGTCCTAGTAGACTTGCCTCTCTGCTTAGGGGCTGAAAATCCTCCATGCCAATAGAAGCAGGATTTTCAGTCATTGGAAAATTTTAAGCTCCAGAACAGAGAGGTTTCAGAAACCCTTCAATTCGGTGCTGAAAATCCAAATGGCTCTTAGGTCCAACATCCCCATGTACTTCCTCACTCCATCCTCACTTGGCAGTTCCTGGGGCTTGCAACTTTCTGCTGGCTTCCCCACTGACTTGATTGTAGAAAGCCGGCAGGCAGTTGACTCATCTAACAAACAGAGCATTTAGTTAATGACAGCAATGAGGACTGCTGGATTGCTGCTGCTAAACAAAGCAGTCGCATTTACAACCGTACCACTTAATGATGCAAATTCCTGTCTCAAATATGGTCAAAAGTTGAGGCCTAGGATAAATATTTTTTTATGTTGAAAAATGACTAAAATGAACTCTAAGGTAAGAAAAAGTATCCTTTGAGTCACTTGACTTCTAGTAAATTCATATTGTCATCCATGAATTATCTTTGCAATAATGTGAAAAAATGTTTGCCACCATTGTCTACAAAGATGTTTTATAATTCGCTAATCTAGTCTATTGTTAATATTCCCTGACAATCTCCAACCCAAAGATTCACCAGACTTGACTCAGCTTGTCTTGTAAAACTGAACAAATTTAGCCACCTCTTCTATCTAATGAGGCCATAAAATGAACATATTCTTACAAATATTGTTCTCTAAAATACATAGTTAAAAAAGGTAAAGGAAGATCTTATATATAAACAAATGTATAAACAGTACTTAGTTAGTAATAATGATTCTTCCTGAATTACAGGTTTTAAATCTACATCATAGTTTAAGATATAATTACTGATTTATAAGAGTATGTCCTTATTTTAGATATTGAAGGTAGTTTACCATTTTCTCTCTTCCATACATGTATACAAAATATAAGAGCAAAATAATTATCAATTAAACAGAACCTATCAATAATACAGTCCTATCTCCCTTAGGGTCCATATATTTTGTGGTGAAAAAAATTCTATGAGCCTTCATAACAGCCAATAAATTGGAAAGATCACATACTTCAAGCAGCAGGGTGTTCCAGAGCATGGAACAGGCACTTCAAAGGCCTACAACCCCTTCCCCTCACATAGAATGACAATCTTTAGCGTCTCTTCCCTGGACACAGAAACAGGGTGGGTTGAAACTGACACACAGAGAGAATTCCATCCAATGTAATATCTAGTCGCTAAACCACACAAAGCTTTACCGGTAATGACCAGAACTGTAAGGCATCCAGAAAGTATCCATGATATCAATCACTCTGAGACATATTCTCTCCAATTGATTTATTTAGGAACAGATCTGGTACGTCTAAGGCAATTTCCCAAAGTGAAAGTATTTTCATGCGTTACACAGAATCCACCTTTTCTCCTCCCATTTCTACACTTCATAAATCACGAGAACCAATTAACTGCAACTGGAATTTCTTAGTAGACATACAGAATAACCTTGAACTTTTCAACTCCTCCACCCCTCTCTTCCATTAAATGTGGCAGCTGAATTTCAAAGCTGACAAGAACTTTTGATTTGTAGCCAATGAAACTGAAAAGAGTTTTATATTTTAAAAATATTTGGCAAAGTGGATACCTCTGACTGTTTGGTTGCTACTTTTTTTGATTCTTCTTCCAATTCCTTCTGCCTCCAGAAGTGGGTATTTAAAATATCTTCTTGTATGGCTCTGGCATTTTGTTCTTGACAAAGTTGTCTCTGTGTTTCATTACGTTCTTCTTCAACCTATAATATATCAGCCTTGTAGTAAAGTAACAAACTGACCAGTTTGTTATGATCTGACAGATTGTGCCTGTGTATACAGCCACAACTATAAGGAATAGAAGTTGTATTATATCAGAGAATACAATATACGTTAAATAGATACTGACAATTGAGCAACTAAATAAAAAAATATCTAACACTAATAGTTAAACATATGTAAAGTAAATATTAGGAACAATAGAAACACTGTTACTAAAAAGTCATTTTGGCAGCAATATGTTAGTAATTATCTACAGCTGACTAAAATATGGATTTGAATTTCTTTAGACCTGGTACTGTTCTATACAGGTTCGTTATGCAGTTTTCTTAACCATCAAAGTAATTGATTCATGCTAAAAATTTGGGTAAAACTAAGTAATTGAGTAATTGATAAGGACTAATATCACATTTTCTGAAATAAAATATTAGTTTCAATCTTATGCAGCATTTAGATGTAAAAACACAAGCTTGCGAGATTCTTTTCAGAATGTATTTTTTCTACTGAATAAATAAATCACAAAAGAACTGAAAATATCATATACTTATTGGTAGAAGCCAAGATATCAAATACCTGGATGGAAGCAAATATCACTTTAATACTGAAAGAAGATTCAGATTTAACGCAGATAAAAAATTATAGGCCAATATCATTACTAAATGTAGACAATAAACGTAGACTCAATAATAGCAGAGACTAAAAAGATTCTTGAATGAATTTATATATTCAGACCAGAATGGATTTTTACCTAAAAGACTAATTAAAAACAATATGAGAATTATTTTGAATACGTTGGAGTATTATGAAGTACATTCTGAAAAACAAATGGCGTTGATCTTTTTAGATGCACAGAAAGCAGTTGACAATGTAAATTGGCAATTTATGTCACTACAATTAACATATATAGACTTGGTGAAAAATTTACTAATATGATTAAGGCAATATATTCTAAACAAACTGCAAAGGTGATGGACATGACAGAGAATTTTAATATAAGGAAAGGCACAAGACAAGGATGCCCTTTGTCCCCTTTACTATTTATATTAACATTGGAAATGTTAAACAGAAACATTAGATAAGATTCAGAAATAAAAGGCATGGAAATAAAAAGAAAAATACAGATTACAGGCAGATGACCTGGTATTTATTCTAGAACAGTGGTGGTGAAACTTTTTGCAACCAAGTGCGCTGGCCACTTGTTGTGCAAGCTGGCTGGCGTGCGCATGCATTCTGGGGAGCTGCTCTTCCGGTTTACGGTGCTTCTGCACGAGCGAAGACCAGCTGGCTGGCGCGCATGTGCGCGCCGGAACCTGGAAGAGCAAACAGGAGATGGCTGGAGTGTATGGAGAGATGGCTCTGCATGCCACTTCCAACACGCGTGCCATAGGTTCGCCATCACGGTTCTAGAAGAACCACAAGAAACTGGACCCAAATTAATAAAAAAAATAGAAGAAAATGGTAAGTTGCAGAATTGAAAATAAGTAAAGAGAGAACCAAGATACTAGTCAAAAATTTTACAGCTAAACAAACAAACAAAAGAAAAAAACTGATGAAGACAGATATTCAGATAGTTAAGAAAGTAAATTACTTAGGAATTCGATTAACAGCAAGATGTGCAACTATTAAAGAAGATAATTATACTAAGCTATTGCAATAAATTAAACTAGATCTGGAGAAATGGAAAAATCTGCAATTATCGATGGTAGGAAGAATAGATACAATAAAAATAATATCTTGCAGAAATTTTTATTTTAAGAATAAGAATAATGCATTATTTTAAGAATAAGATTGGAAGTGCTACAAGACTCTAAAAACAAAGTGGGGGTTGGATTGCCAGATTGGGAGCTATATTACCAGGCCTCTGTACTTAAATGGGTGAAAGAGTAGATGAGACATAAAAGTTTATTAATTTTGGAGAGACACGATGTTCAACTGGGATGGGCACACCCTTTTATGGTATGGGAAAAGCAAAATATATAGATATTTCCAAAGACATTATGTTAGAACTGCTTTGCTGTTAGTATGGGAAAAATAAAATAAAAACATTATATGAAAATACCAGTCTGGCTCCCCATGAGGCACTGATACATCCGAATGTTGTTAACTTGGAAAAAAGATATAAAGACCTTTTTGAATGAAAAAGGGGAACTTAAAACTAACCAAGGATTGAAAAATCAAGGGATTGATTTAGCATGGTGGTCGCATGTGCAAATATAATCAAGGTATAAGAAAAATGTTTTTTTATGAAGAACCAACAGCATTAGATCAGATACTACTAGGGACAGATAAAAAGCTAATAAAAATGCATAGATATCTATTTAGCATTAAAATGGAAGAAGAACAAGTGAAAGAAACAATGATAGTGTGGGCCAAAAACTTTAAACTTTAAACGTAAGGCATCCAGAAAGTATCCATGATATCAATCACTTCCGAGACATTTTCTCTCCAATTGATTTATTTAGAAACATACTATAGAGTTAGATAAATGGCAAAAACTGTGGGACAGAAATTATAAATTAACGTCAACTGCCTATAAGGAAAATCTCTGTAAAAATATTTTATAGGTGGCATTTACCACCAGCAAAAATGGCAAAGATGTTTGAAAACATGTCTTCCTAATGTTGGATACGTACAGGGGTGGGATTCAAATTTCTTAACAACCGGTTCTGTGGGTGTGGCTTAATTTGTGGGTGTTGCTTTGTGGTCATGTGACTGGGTGGGGGTGGCTTGCTGGCTGGCATGGCTTGGTGGTCACATGACTGGCTGGGCGTGACCAACTCAATGTCACTCATGTCAAGGGGTGCCTTGCCTAGCCCGTCCCCACCCAACCATTACTTGTCACACCCAGCCTCAATGTATCTACAGTTCTATAAAAATGTTGTTCACCTTTTTTCGACTTTATTATCTACATACTATAAATGTACTTTCATGAACCGCTGAAAGGAGGAAATGGCTCACATGCTTTGCCCAAGAGTGTGATAGGCAACAGGCTTTTAAGGGGCTGCCACAAAAAAAGGGGGGGGGGCAATGTATTTTCCAAAGAAGAGAAGGCAAAACAAGAAGCAATAGATGGAAACTGAACAACGAGAGAAACAACCTAAAACTAAGGAGAAATTTTCTGACAGTGAGAACAATTAACCAATGCAACTGCTTATCTCCAGAAGTTCTGGGTACTCCAACACGGGAGATTTTTAAGAAAAGACTGGACAGCCATTTCTCTGAAATGGTATAGGGTTCCCCCCCAAGGTCCCTTCTAAGTGTTATTCTGTTATTCTGACACCTTTCCCAGGCCCTCCACTCAGATAAAAAAATGTGGCTGTGATAGTTGATCAGAGCTCCTCTATTTTTTTATGTGCAACAGCTTTAGCGTTTAGGATCAGAGCTAAGTTAGTGGCTTTTATATTAATACGTAATTCTTGAAAGGGCTCTCCTATAGGGAGGTCCCCAACCATTCTGGCACCAGGGACTGGTTTCATGGAAGACAATTTTACCATGGACCTGTGTGTGTGTGTGTGTGTGTGTGTGTGTGACGGGGCGGGGGAGAACAGTATAGAGTTTGGGAAAGAAGCACAAACAGAAGTGTTAAATTAAATAGCGGGTGGACCACGCATGGAGTAAAGTAAGTGTGGGATTGTTTCTTAAAGCCTGCCACCAGATGATTTTGCTCCAGTCCAGGAGAAAATCAGAATAAAGACACAAGGAAGACTTCACTATAGAAAGGGCTTTCTTTTGCTTCAGGAGAAAATCAGAATAAAGAACTGGAAAAGACTTCACAGGAATAGGCTTTTGTATTCTGCTCTGGAAGAAAATGAGAAGACACAGAGAAATTTTTTCACTGGAAGAGGCTCTCTGTTTTTGCTCCAGAGGAAACCCCCAATCAAAGTTCGGGGAAGCAGAAAGAGTGTGAACGACCACCACTTGCACTTTTCAATGGTTCAGCACAGCGATTCTCTTCCAGATAAGACCTGTGACTTTCTGCTTCTAAGAAAGTGGGAAGGAAGGTGGGGGAGAAGAGACAATTCTAACTCATCCTTCCAGCAAAACAAATGAAGATCCAGCATGTTGAGGAAGTGCTGACAAAACAATTCAAAAGAGAGAAGGAGGGGGAGGGGGAGAGGCAGAGGGAGGGAGGGAGGGAGGGAGGGAGGGAGAGAGAGAGAGGGAGAGGGAGGGAGAGAGAGAGAGAGCAAACCAACTTGGCCAGGAGTCTTGATGCAAATGAGAGAGGGATTCCCTTGGAGACCCAGCACTTAAGGTGACATTCCCACACACGCACACATACCTTGGAGGGGTCCCCCTCCAACAAGGCTTTGGGAAAGCACTTGGTTGTGAGTTGGGCTGCTGCGTGTTTGTCTTGCAAACTTGGAGAGGTGCGTGTTTGTCTTGCAAACTTGGAGAGGTGCGGGAAGGGAATGCAAGCCCAGTTGCAGTGCTGGGAGAAGGAGAGGAGGAAAGTGGGGGAGAAGCAGAGGAAGGAAGGAAGGAAGAGGTAGCAGGAGAAACGGGAAGCAGGATCAGGAAGAGGAGGAGGCAAAAGCAGGCATAGCGGAAGGAACAGGAGGAAGGAAGGACTCAGGTGTTGCAAGCCAACTGCAAGCCCAGCTGCCGGAGAACCATAGCACTTTGCATGTGCCGGCCTTGCTGTTTGAGGGCAGGAACAAACTGAAGGGAAGCCCTTACATGCTGGCTGGTGGGAGGGAGAGCAGGCAGCTAATCAACTAATTTAGCAACTGGTAATCACCAGCTGGGTGGGCATGGCTAGGGGTATGTGACAGGCAGCACTCCTCCTGCATCTCCCTGAAAGCAAAAAATAGGCTGTTTTTAGCATAGCAAGCCTCCCTGGAGCCTCAGGAGACACAAAACGGGCCGTGGGGTTTGTGTGTGTGTGCAGCGCACCCCCGCCCCTTGCAGCCCGTTTTTTGGCCTTGCATGCCTCTCGCACTTACCTGGGAACCAGAACCAGGTGCATGGGGATGCCTGGGAA